TCAACTTGTGTGTCTTGGGGTGCCCCCTGCCCCCATATATAAAGAAGCAAGGGAGGAGGAGGCCGACCCTAGGAGGGGCGCGCCAAGGGAGTAGGATTCCTACTCCTAGTAGGAGTAGGTTTCCTCCTTTCCTAGTCCAACTAGGAGAAGGGGGGAAAGGAGGGGAGTGGAGAAGGAAGGGAGAGGGGGGCCGCGCCCCAAACCCTTTGTCCAATTCGGACTGGGCTTGGGAGGGGCGCGCGCCACCTCCTGGTTGCTGCCTCTCCTTCCCACTAAGGCCCATTAAGGCCCAATACTACTTCCCCATATTCCCATAACTCCCTGGTACTCCGAAAAATACCCGAATCATTCGGAACCTTTTCGATGTCCGAATATAGTCGTCCAATATATCGATCTTTAAGTCTCGACCATTTCGAGACTCCTCGTCATGTCTGTGATCACATCCGGGACTCCGAACAACCTTTGGTACATCAAAACTCATAAACTCATAATATAAATGTCTTCGAAACTTTAAGCGTGCGGACCCTACGGGTTCGAGAACTATGTAGACATGACCGAGACATGTCTCCGGTCAATAACGAATAGCGGAATCTGGATGCTCATATTGGCTCCCACATATTCTACGAAGATCTTTATCGGTCAAACCGCATAACAACATATGTTGTTCCCTTTGTCATCGGTATGTTACTTGCCCGAGATTCGATCGTCAACATCTCAATACCTAGTTCAATCTCGTTACCGACAAGTCTCTTTACTCGTTCCGTAATACATCATCTCGCAACTAACTCATTAGTTGCAATGCTTGCAAGGCTTAAGTGATGTGTATTACCGAGTGGGCCCAGAGATACCTCTCCGACAATCGGAGTGACAAATCCTAATCTCGAAATACGCCAACCCAACAAGTACCTTCGGAGACACCTGTAGAGCACCTTTATAATCACCTAGTTGTTGTGACGTTTGGTAGCACACAAAGTGTTCCTCCGGTAAACGGGAGTTGCATAATCTCATAGTCATAGGAACATGTATAAGTCATGAAGAAAGCAATAGCAACAAACTAAACGATCAAGTGCTAAGCTAACGGAATGGGTCAAGTCAATCACATCATTCTCCTACTGATGTGATCCCGTTAATCAAATGACAACTCTTTGTCTATGGCTAGGAAAGATAACCATCTTTGATCAACGAGCTAGTCAAGTAGAGGCATACTAGTGATACTCTGTTTGTCTATGTATTCACACATATATCATGTTTCCTATTAATACAATTCTAGCATGAATAATAAACATTTATCATGATATAAGGAAATAAATAATAACTTTATTATTGCCTCTAGGGCATATTTCCTTCAACCCCGTGTCAGGAGGCAAGAACTCCTATTTTGCCAAATGTCAGGAGGCTTGCAGGAAGGATGTCGAGCGGACATTTGGTGTGCTCCAATCTCAATTTGCTGTTGTCCGGTACCCCACTCAGACCTGGTCGAAAGATCAAATGTGGGAGGTCTTAACTTGTTGTGTCGTCTTGCACAACATGACCTTTGAGAGTGAGCAGGAATAGCCAGCTTTTGACACTGAACCATATTACAGGCAGGGTCCTCTTGCCCAAGTTGATCACCAGCTACCGGCAACCTGGATTGCCTTCCTCAATATTCGTCAGGAGATCCGAGACCCATAGATGCATCAACAACTGCAGCAGGATCTGGTAGAGCACCTATGAAGGCTCAAGGGCAATGCCTAGCTTGACGTGTGATGAAATATGAGTTTTTATTTGTTGAACTATTTGATTTGTTTGTTGAACTATTTGATTGGTATTGATTTTCTGTGATGAACTATGTGATAAAAAATAGCTTCTGTCGAATTTGTGCCGAAGCACGCCGAATATGGGTTGAAATCGGTCCAATTTACGCTGAAAGTTGGCTGAAAGTGGGCCGAAATCGACGCCTATGGGGCGACCTTGGGGGGCGGCTGAGAACCCAAGCCCCCTCATATCGATTTTTCCGCCAACACGCCCTCAAATGGCGCTATTTCAAACCCCTGAAGGGCCAAACGGCTGAAGATGCTCTAACAAAAGCGCAACTACTTTAGTAGAACTAGCAGTACTATAACACTAGCCTACTGGGTGAGTGGTCCTGTTTGCCTCGAGAAAAGAAAACCCACGTTGGCTGCCTTTCTCTTTCGAGACTTGTAACATGGCCATTGATTTTATTTATGAGGAAAATGCTCAAGCGGCCCGTGTCCATGTGAACTTTTTTTTTTCAGGTGATGTGAACCTAATTTTCAGAACTTGCACCTTGTTTTGGCTCCCCAAAATTGGCTCTATTATTCAAAAACAGGAATTCGATTCAAGATACATGACTGCCGCAAAATTAGAATTGTCAATTTGAAATGCAATTCCAATGAGTTAGGATATCACCAAACGTGCAAACATGTGCTCTGTGATTGGTTTTGCACTTTTTTTTTGAAAAGTTGGTTGAAAACCCCTCGTCATCATTGTGATGTACACAACCATATTTATTAAAGTACTTCCTTCATTCCTTTATATTAGTAGTATAAGACCATTATAAAACATACATTTTGCATCTATACAAGGTCACTAACAGTAATCGAGGCAAAAATTAATGATATTTACTAGCAACTTGTTTAATACTTGTATGCATGTAGTCATAATGACACTGCACTATTTTTCTCATTCCTTTTTTGCATGCACGCGAGCGTATTAATGATCCTAGTAACAATAAGAAAAGTTGGCTTGCAAAGTACTCCCTTCGTCCCAAAATAGATGACTCAACTTTGTACTAACTTTGTATTAAAGTTGGGTCATCTATTTTGGAACGGGGGGAGTAGTCATTAAATTTTACCTTGATAGTTGTAATCTCAGTTTGTGGCCTTATATAAGGGAATGGAGGAAGTATATTGGATAGTGTAGGGTTAGAAGACATGGTTTTGCTTTTTTTTTGTGTGTGTAGCTTGAACCACATGTTTCCTCATGAAAATTTTAGGGGATGTAGTATACGCCCCTGGGTTCATGTGTAATTTTCTTAAATATTTTTTTTGAAACTTAAAAAAATGGTTTTTGTATTTTTCAAAAATCTGAGCTTCATGGAGCTCAGGGTCCAAAAGCAATTTCCTTACAACCATGTAGTCCCTCTGTAAACTAACATAAGAGCTTTTAGATCATTACTTTAGTGATCTAAACGCTCTTATATTAGTTTATGGAAGGAATACTATACATTTATATTGCAGTGAATTTGCATGGACCTAAGGTTTTATGTTGATTTTTTTCTAAGAAGTTGGTTTCACTTCTTTTCTCACCCCGTATTGTATCCAAATATAAAATATTACTTTGTCTGTCTTATAATATAAGAATATTTTTTGACACTAATGTAGTGTGAAAACCGCTCTTATATTACGGAATGGAGGGCGTACTAGCTAGATGAGGTTTCTTGTGCGAGTTATATTGAATCATGGTTGCAGATGCACTAAAAATGATAAAAGTCCAAATACCTGGCCACATATTATTGCATTTTTTTACATCAAAACCTTCACTTATTCATTGGTAATCAGGGTTTTGAGTACATCATTTACATATGATGGCATTAACTGTTAGTCAAAGTTTAAATCTTGAGATGTGTGACTCGGTACAAGAGGGGGAAGAGTCTTGAGATCATGTCGGACGCCTTGTACTCGGCCGTAATTGGCAGAGGGTAGGATAACATAGTCTGGCCACAAGTAGGGGTATATATATAATATATTTCCCCTGATAGTGTGCTCAATAGCTATATGTTTTTTTGTTGTTGCGGAAACTCAATAGCTATATGTGATTGGTTCTTGTGAAAATGGGGACTGGGACTTGTGAACATCTAGAAGCATAAATACAGTACTGTATTATTCTTTGACTTACACTGGGCACGGTACTACAAAGTCGGCACGATTTCTCGTCGGTATGCAATTGGCACTCAGTCCTCTCCTACAATTTTAGTTTAATTTGCCACCACAGCAACTGCCTTGGTTTTCCTTCCCACGCTACGATACGATGACGGGAACGCGTATGGCTATTATTTTCGCCCATGTTATCTTCAACTATCTGAAATTCTTCACAAGACTTGTGTTAATTAATTGCCTTTGGAGTCGTCACTTGCCAGTCTTCTTCAGGACTGCCCTTATAACAAACTAAGTTAAAAGGACGAGCGTTAGCAGCCAGGCATATGCCATTCAATTCAGGGGGTGCATATTTTTGTAGCAAAGTCAGAAGCAGGGAGTAGGTATTGCTGTTTTGTATCAGAAAACAAACTGATTGATAAGTACGGCAGTATATACTAGTATATGCTTCCTTCGTTTCATTTCTAGAAAGACAAGCCTTGCAAACTTTGATCATGTTTATAAAGAAAACTGATTATATCTACAATGCCAAATATGTACAATATGAAAATACGTCTTGTGATGTATCTAATGATATGTAATTTATATTCCAGATGTATATGTTTTTTCTCTGCAAAAGTTTGACTTTCCAAAAAAATCTGTAAGCACTATATTGTGGATCGGAGGTAGCAGTAGGTGCTGTGTGTCAGCATGCATCCATGCATGCATACCGCCTTAGCTAAGCTCAAACTACAAGGGCGATCAAGCTCAAAGGTTGTTTAATTATTTATTATGGATCAATTATTGGAGCCAACAATTACAGTATCATCATATTATGTAGTAAATGGACCGAATATTTCCGCATATATCTTCCCCCCTATACATATCAAGCATAGCAACCAGTTTTCTTCACCATAGTTACAGCTTACAGCTAATTAATCAACTTTAATTGCTGGTAGAAAAGAGCAGCATTGTATTATATGTAGATGCGGTTGTCTTCTTCTCTCTTCACAGCCTCGAGTGGTCCTGGTATTGCTCCATGAACGAGTCGTTGAACTTCTTGAAGCTCGACATGATCGCCGGCATGTCCTCCTCCGCGGGCAGGATCGTCGTCCTCAGATGGAACACCCTGCAAATTGTTCCATATCACAAAGTGCAATCTTATTACTGAGCAAGGACAAACGGTGATTGGTTCTGCAGTAAAAAAATATGATGATAATGGTGATGAACAGGAGGACTGGTTTCCTACAATGGTTCAACCAAGATGGGAATGGGCTGACGTCACCCATTTTGACACTGGCCCCGCCCAAAATTTCCAGTCCAATGGGTTTTTTGGGTCGGATTCGTGTGGAGACAGGGCCAGCGGAGTCGATCCTCATCAGCCCATCAGGATGAGTGGGTCGACCCAAATTTGGTTGCCCGGGGCTGTAGTATGCCGTTATGATAGTATATACCTTTGCAAGGGTTGTTAGGCTTGTGCTTACAGGAAAGTTTCAAACTATTGACCCAAGATTGCTTTTGTTCCAGAAATGCAAATATGCTAAGTTGTGGACTTGTGGTGCTAACATCTTCATGGTAGTAATAGAAACCAGGTCCAGGCCGGAGCAGGCCAGCCCATTCCCATTCTTATCAGGTTCATGATTAGCATAAGCCCAAAGTGCAGTGACAATTTCCATGTGTATCACAACACTGATGATGGGCCACTGTTCTCATATGCCCAGTTTATCATGCTTCACTTCTACTCCCTCCGTTCCTACATATAAGCCTTTTTAGAGATTCCAATACAGACTACATAAGGAGCAAAATGAGTGAATCTACACTCTAAAATGCATCTATATACATCCGTATGTGGTCCATAACTCCATATTGAAATCTCTAAAAGGTCTTATATTTAGAAACGGAGGGAGTAGCTAGGATCTCTTACACCTTGTAACTAAAAAAAATCATTAAAACAATAACTGATGATATCAGAAAAGCACTTACCCTTCTTTCTGACCAAAACCTGAGCCTGGAACAGTGGAAATTCCAGTGGCTTCCAGAAGCTTGAGGCAGTAGTAAACATCGGGCGCTTTGCCAGCGCTTTTTGCTACATCCATAGCTCTTTGCGGCAGCCGTATTTGCGGGAAAGAATACATAGCTCCTGCAAAAGCATAATAGCATAGAACATCAGAGACAAGCTTCTTTGCCATTGAAAAATATGCATTGCAGCGTATTTACGGGCAAGAATACATAGCTCCTGCTACAGATAATAGCCAGATAAAAATATGCAGTTTAGAGCTTTTATGTTACCTTCTGTGAAATTGCAGACAACATTTCGGCAACTATTGAAACCGTCTGTCATTATTTGTGCCCTCCTCCTTAAAGATTCAAGGATAGACTTACTGCAACGTCAGTTTGAAGCATGTTAGTACCAGCTAACACGCTAATGTTCTTTCATATGGGAAGTGAGGCATATAGTAAGAAATACGAAGGGCGGTGTTTTTAACCTTTCAGCAGAGTACTTCAGGTACGAGATGTCTCCAGGTTTAGGAGGGTTCACCATAAGCCCCATCTGCGAATTAAAGAATCAGAACCATTGTATAACTTCTTAAAATAAAGCAAGATAACTGCAAAAAAAATAGTATGCTGATCACAACACAGAATACAACAGTGAAAACGAGGTTCTGATTTTCAAGAATTCCAATAGTAGTTCATGGATTGCCTCCTACTACCCCCACCCCTCCCAACCAAAAACAACAACAGAATCATTAAACTTTGTTTCACTTACAAAGATCTGCCCAGGAACATTTGGACTCAGCGCGATTGATGCAACCTTGTAAATCTCGTCGACAGTCTGTCAGAACAAACAGAAGAGCAATTTGATTATGGGTATTTAAGAAAGTATGTGTTACCATCCAAACTTGAGTGTAAACGTTTGTACAATGGAATAAAGTGCCATCCTTATTTATGTGACTTGTCTTATTTACACGTTCAATCTCAACTTTCAAAGCTTTGAGGTTGGACACAGCTAGCAGCTGTAAATGAACATCGAGGGACTGGTGACATACATATAACTCCAACATGCATTGTTCATTACCCAACAGTTTTGGGGGTATCCACAAAGTGCACTCCATTAATAAAAGGAATATGTTGGTGCAACAAATGTAATTGCAACAACCTAGCTAGTACAGGATGGGTTTAGTGGATCATATTGCACATTGTAGTATATACACAACTGTACTGCTAAGAAAGAACAATAGCAAGTCCAGGAAATTCTGATGCAGTTTTTTTTTTTTGCAATAATACATGAATTATGTAAAATCTTATTTATATATGTATTTCGTTTTTTTATAGCTGCATTCTTCATACATAGTAGTAAGTAACTTGTTCATAATCTTTAAGATAAATCATAAATTCTGTAGTAGAATGTTACCTTGGGAGGAATATTTGTCATTTCAAAGTACCCACCACGTTGTCCACACTCTCCCCAATATCCTTTGGACACAGTATGGAAAGAAATCAGCTGAACTTCCCTGCTTACTGGAGGACCCATGTCAAACATAACCTAGAACATGTTGAGAAAGGCCATTGTGGTCAGCGCAATTGATATTTGAGAAAAAATATCCGATTATCTTTCAGTGTAACACAGCATGAGCTTAATCTCTTGTAGTAGTTTCTCGGCGTGCGGAAGCAAGTACTTGTCAATATGTGTTACTTAAGGGCAACTTAGAGTGCTCACTAGATTATAGACTTGTCACATGAAAATTATAAGCTTGAGTGAAGCTGTAACCATCGGTACCTTTCTTGCACTTATAAACGGACGCTCATCTTGATAAACATTCTGTTGATAAACTTCATCTGCAAGCAGAACCAAGTTTTCCTGATAGCAGAAGTTCAAAAGTTCCCTAATATTTGCTTCACTTAGGCATTGACCAGTAGGGTTTCCTGGGTTTATTATCACCATTGCTCGAACCTAGATTGGAGGGAAAAAAATATCATCAGAGCCAAATACAACTAGTATACATTAAGGATAACAATTTTATATAAGCAGCATGCCTACAACGATATAGAAAGAAGAAGAAAATCATGAACTATGAGAAGGTGAAACAAATTACACTGTCAACACAAAACATCCAACAAACAATTTTACAAGTGTTTCTTTCTTCAAGCTAACTATTAGACTACTGATCTTTCTTCCCAAGAGTTAGTAGAGGTTTTAGTGTAGAGAATGAAGATAGGCAAGGGTCTGATTGCAGAGACGACAAGCATAGCATTCTAGTTGGATAAAAATAATATGTAACCCCCTAATTGGTTACATCTGGTATTTCTGATGAGTATGTAAGACAGGATGAAATATACTACATGCTGAGTCCTAAATTATCGGTAAACACTTACAGTGATTCCCTTTGACCGTGCTTCTGCAACTGATTGCCGGGTACTGACAAGATCAAGTCCCCAGTTAGCCTCTTCTTCCAAATAATACGGGACAAGAGAACCACCAAAGAGGGAAATAGCAGCAGAATAAAGCGGGTATTGTGGAACAGGGACCAAAATCTGCCAAGAAAGATACATGCATCTCAACCACATTGGGTTTATTTACACTTATCTTAAGTAAGAATTTGGGGAAAGATGCGGCTTTCAAGGATAACCATACCCCGTCCCTCTCGTTTCTGATAATGGCGTTGAGCATTTGCATCACACCTTTGCTGGCACCATCAGTGAGGTAAATAAGCTCTGGATCACTGCAGTAAGTAGACCATAGAATACCAGTGTGAGGAGGGAGGAAGGATGACCAGAAAAACTGAGATGTGCAAGTAGATAGGATATTTTCATGGGCGCTCTTGTTCAGTCTGACCTTGGATACCCATCACGCCTCTGAATGAACTCGGCAACTTCCTGCCTAACCCCAGGGATACCTCGGGAGTCACTGTAAGCACCTGGTGAGATAGATTACAAGTTGTGTCAGTCAAACACACACACACACACGCATATAGAGTATATACGTAAGACTACAGAAACAATGGAACATACTCCCTCCGTTCGGAATTACTTGTCTTGAAAATGGATGTATCTAGAACTAAAATACATCTAGATACATCCATTTCTACGACAAGTAATTCCGAACGGAGGGAGTAGTACTGTAATACATGAGTGAGTAGATAAAAGTGGATAAACTCTTATTTGTTATGTGATGAAGAAATTAAAAACCGTCAGCTCTGCATTTGTTATCCACTTCCACTTGCATGCATATATATGGAGTAAAAAAAAGGCACAAGTGTGCGTGCCCGAAGAAAACCTAGAAACATCCTGGATTAGGAGTAGTAGAAAAGAAGGGATGGATTTTGGGCGGACGAGAATATGTTACCTAAACCGCCGGGCGCGAGGGAGAGGTAGTGCTTGGCCCTCGCGATGGCATCGGCGGGGAAGATGAGGCCGACGTTGGGATCATCGAGCAGGAAGGGAGCCTGGCAGAGCGCCACCACCTGCGCACCGAAAGGACAAGTGAGCACACCCACCAACCTCCAATCAATCCTGTTTCCTACTGTAGGTTGGTGAAGAGAAGAAGAGGATAGCAACCTGGCGGGGGAAGGTGAGTGGCTTCTGGCCGAGGGCGTGCGGGTTGCCGACGTTGGTGAAGATGATCCTCTTGCCCTCCTTCTGGAGCTCGGAGGCGCGGAGGTAGAGCTCCCCGCGCACGGCGTACTGCACCTTCTTGACGTTCTCGTTGAGCTCCTCGTAGTCCAGGGCCTTCCTCCCCATCATCTTCTCGTCTTCTCCAGATCCCTCGTGCGCCGCCGCAGAGGGGAAAGGTGGGTGTGGGGGGTGATGTGGAGAAGAAGGGAACCAAGAAACAGGGGAGCAGGTGGGATTTTGTAGTGTAATGGCAGGGCAGCGAGATTCCTTGTCGCGTTGCTGGGCGTGCGCAGTGCAGATTAATCAAGCGCGGATAATGTGGAGGAGACGAGACGGCATCCGCTCAATTTTCTTGCGCACCGAAGAGAATGAGATTTGCGCCCCGAAATTGAGTGGGGAAAGGACTAGGAACTCGGGATGGAGATAAGAGCGGGAATGGCCACAGGTTGGGTTATCACCTCGCCTGCGGTGGACAAGGAACAAGCTCCTCTTGCCTGCCTGCCCGCCCCTTGGCACCTGGAGGGGAGCGCAATAATGCAGCAGCAGCAACAATTCTCTTCCTTGTCTCCATCTATCCGTCTATCCATCTTCACACACGTAACTGGCTCTGCTTTGTTCTCCATGGGATAGGAAAGATGCAAAATGGTGCTAGTAAATTGTTTCAGTTTCAAGAAAACAAGACTGAAACAGGGTAGTGTTGGGCATGTCCTAGCACCAGCAGCAAATTCAGGCCAGATTTAGTAGCATCTCATATTGCATTGCAGCAACACTAGGAACACAAATTACCCCATTTTGTTACCTCTTTGTATCTTTTTTTTTTCAAAAAGGGGGCTCCCCAGCCTCTGCATCAGAGTAATGCATACAGCCATCTTATTAACCAAATAACAAAATGTGCCAACAAGGTTCGAAAGTCTCCAGCTCAAAGAAAGAAAAAGGATAAATGCAGCTCACACAGAGCTAAAAGAGGCTAGACACACAAACTAGCCAGGGAAAGGTGCCACAACCGGCTGGCTAAAAATAGACAGGAAAACTAATTGCCAATCCTATTACATGACCGCCATCCAAACCGGTTGAAGATATCCCGAGCTACCATCTCCCAACGGATAGGTCCAGTAACCAAATGCTCCCTAGCCTTCATCGAAGTGAGTAGCGACCACGAACGGACTAGTGCCGTAGCTCGGAAAATAACCTGCAAGAAATGAAACCGTGATGTTCCTCTTTGTATCTGCATCCACTGCAAATTCAGAACCAACTAGGGATGGTTCATGGTGCTTGCTGAGCTAATGTGGTACTCGTTTTTTTTTGTATATATATATATATGCATCTGTTACAAGTTCAGAACTAGGGAAAACTAATCTATACTAGTATCATTTTTCTTTTCAGGTTATATACAGTACTCGACAATATGGGTGAAACAAACAGGTTACTGTCCCCTTTGTCTTGTGCTGCTCTCAGGGCATTTCTAACCGATTCCTAAAAAATAGCAGAGTATCCCGCCGAGTAAACCTCCATTAAGTTTTTATCGGTTCTAGCCGATCCCCTAAACTTAGCGAAGTAAAACGTAAATTTGCATAAATTCAACTTAATTTCAACCAAAATTTGCATGCATTTAAACATAAGTTCAACATAGATAGTCTTGACAACCAAACATTAAACATAAATTCAAACTTAAACTACACTAAAAACTACTTATCTTCATCAGCCATAGTGGAGGTCGAGCCAATCCTTCCTCAACAAGCCACCCTTGATGAGACATGGGTCCGGGCCGGTGCCGTCGTCGTCGCAATCAGGAAAGATGCTCCGCCACTCCTCGACGTTGAACTCCTCTTCCTCGCCGCCCTTCTTGCCGCCCTCCACTACCGGGAAAGGCCTTATAGGTGAACTCAATAGAGTGGCGGGCGGGTCGAGGCACCCGACACAACAAGTTAGGAAAAGCAGCAGTGGCGGGTAACAAAACATGATCGCCAGAGCTAGCGGCACACCAGTGGTTGGCGAAATACGTCACCCGCCACAATAAGAGCAACTCCAACGGGCCGGCCCAAATGGACGGCGATTTTGTCCATTTTTGTCCGTTTGGGTCGGCCAGACGGACACGGATGTCCGCTTCCGCATTTGGGTCGGCGCGTGCGTCCAACGCTGGCCTGAACCCATTTTGACGGCGCTAGAAAAAAAATGAAGGCATGCATATTAAAAAAGAGAAACAACATTAATTAAACATTAAAGCCGGCCACGAAGGGCGGCGAGAGTCCACGCGTCCACATTTGCATTAAAAAAAATTAAAAACTGCCTAAACTACGAGGCGGCGCGCTGCCCAAGGCGTCGTCGTCGTCGTCCTCGGGGTCCGTGAGGTCGATGAGCGTCGGCGCCGGCCCGGCCCAAGCGAACGCCGTGTTCCAGAG